TACAGGTTTGGTACTGCTCTGTGTAATGAAAATGTCCGAGTCCGACTCAGAGTCTTCTGCACCCGTCGAAACATTGACGAGTTTTTTCAAAGAGCTGTCTAGTTGTTCTCCAGTTTCTCCCCTCAGCTTCTTAATGCAGTGATTCCCCTTTTCGGCAACGACTCTCGAACGCTTTTTGCGATAATGAATCCTTGCAACATTTGAAGTATGTTTTTGATCTTGCGAGATCAGCTCTTGTTCTTCAAGGGATAGAACATCAGCACTCTCTGTTTCGATTATTTGTCGGTAACGTGTTGGGTGCACATACTTGCCAATAGCTTCATAGACAAGCAAACACATAGCTTGACTCAGCTTCGTAAATTGGGTTCCATTGCGCGTAAGTAACAGATATTCGCATTTTGGAAGAAACCTCGGCCTAACGTGTCTCACATAGTCGTCCAAAACATGCATGCAGACGTCATCTATGACCATGGAATCAAAGCCATACTTGTCAGCTGTTTTGAATTTCTTCTGGTCGACGTATCCGCCATTTTTTGCTGCACTACGTAGCATGCCAATTGTCAGGAATTGGTATGTCATTGGCCGAGAACCCTTGACACGTAAGAAGAGAAATGTCGTTATAAATCTCGTTGAAAAAGTTAGATCAGACGCTGAAACTTCTGCTGAATGCTCTCGACATTTGGCCACTATTTTCTTGTATCGTCCCATGTGAAACGGTATGACCTTTTGTAAGTCTTTTAGTGATGCCCAATGTCCTTTTCTCTCCAAGGTATCAACATCCAATTCTACAGTCCACTGTACACGCATCTTACGAGCAATACATCTTCTGGCGCGCTTCAAAAATACCTCTGCAACACTAAAGTTTGATAAGATGGAAGCTGACACTCCTTTAAACTTTCTATACTCCATTGTTTCCAACAAAGCATTGATGTAACTAACGCTCCCAGCAAATCCAATAGATTTCTCATCCTCCAAATGTTGTAAAAAAGCTGACAAGCATGCCATTGAAGCCAAATAGTAGTCAATTTTAGGCCCCTCTATCCCTTCGAGCATAAGATCGTCCTGAGAGTACTGAATAAACTTGAGGACACGAGAGCAAATCTGATTTGCGTGTGCCTTCGTGCGAGCACCACCGGTAGAGCTGCACATCCATTTGGCAAACGTTTCACTAAAAATGACGTCATCTGGAATGATATTCGAACTGCCATCCTTTGACTCGTTGGTCTTCTCGTCACATGTGTTTTGTGGCGCAGCTTTATCATCCATAATATCTTTTGGGTATTCGTCAAAATAGAAGAACCAAGGATGCGAATTTGTAACGTGCTTTCTGCAACCTCTTTGACTGCGGAAGCCTTCATGCTCGCAATCACCAATAGGGCACTGAAATATTCCGTGCACGTTAGCTATTAACATCAGCCTTTTCTTCAGCTTTGCAGCTCCTGGGACGTCTTTCCAACGTATTACCATCGAAGACATCTTCTAGTTTTGTGGCCAAGCTGAAAACTTGCAGCGCCTTATATAGGTTGAAACTTCTCAAGAGACATGTGAATTTCGTCTTGCTGTTTTCCGGAGAAACGTGACTAAACTCAAATGAGCAAAAGAAAATCGGCCCAAAAGTACTTAGCGCACGCAGAACGAAGGAACTTGAGAACGTATATTCAAATTTATGTTAGAATGTATAGGAAAAGCGAGGGACCAAAGGTCCGTAATTCCCATAACGGCACGTTAGCAGCATATCCTAAAATTGACGAGACGTTCCTAACACAAAGGAACAAAGGAACAGTTCCCATGGTCCAAAAGACCTATCTTAGTACCTTTGTTCTTTTATGGGGATCTATGGAACATTAACCAAATGCCAGCAATTTTTACATATGAATTTTTAAGATGCTTAAGGGCACTCTTTTCGGGAAAAAAACATCAGATGGTTGCATGAGTATGAGAGACATCTGAAAATAGCATAATGGGACTTGATAGAATTCACTCTTTTGAATAAACTAAAATATAAAACTTCAATGAAGTATCTCCAAATTTGGCAAATACTGATGATGTTAATGATGATGATGATGATGATGATGATGATGATG